GTCTTTGTCTTCTTTGGGTATCAGGGTGATGCTGGCCTCATAGAATAACTTTGGGAGAATGGCCTTGAATGATAGAGTTTGGATATGTTGTCCCTGCCAAAACTCATGTGGAAATCTGATCCCCAATGTGGCAGTGTTGGTAGCTGTTTGAGTCACAGGGGCAGATCCCTCATGAATGGATTAATGCTCTCCCTGGGGGGAGGGGTAGTGAGTGAGTTCTTGCTCTAATAGTTCCTGTGAGAGCTGGTTGTTTAAAAGACCCTGGCACCTCCCCCCCCCCTCGCTTCCTCTCACCATGTGATCTGCTTGTACCTGCCGGCTGCCTGCCACTTTCTGCCATGAGTGGAAACAGCCTGAGGCCCGCACTAGATGCAGCTGTCCCAGAATCGTAAGCCAAATAAACCTCTGTTCTTTACATATTACCCAGTCTCAAGTATTCTGTTATAGCAACACAAAATGGACTAATACAGAAAATTGGTACCAGAGAAGTGGGGTGCTGCTATACAGATACCTGAAAATGTGGAAGTGGCTTTGGAACTGGGTGTTAGGCAAAGGTTGGAGGCGTTTGAAGGACTCAGAAGAAAACAGAAAGACAAGGGAAAGTTTGGACTGTCTTAGAGACTGGTTAAATGGTGATGAGCAGAATGCTGATATAAATATGGACTGTAAAGACCATTCTAAGGAGGTCTCAGATATAAATAAGAAGGAGTTTATTGGAAACTGGGGCAAAGTTCAACCTCGCTATGAACTGGCAAGGAACTTAGCTGCATTATGTCCATGCCCTAGGACTTTGTGGAAGCTGGAACTTAGGAGTTGTGAACCAGAGTATCTGGAAGAAGAAATTTCTAAGCAGCAAAGCATTAAGGAAGCTGTATGGCTACTTGTAACATGATGTAAGGAAGAATTTAAAAGGGAAGCAGAGCATAAAGATTTAGAAAATTTGCACCTGGCCATGTGGTGAAGAAGCAGAGAGGATTTTCAGAAAAAAAAATCCAATGGTGCTAAGAAAATTAGTGCAAAAAAAAGGGATTATCAAGAGAAGGGGAAATAGGCCCTGAAGGCACTGCAGAAGCCTCTAGGGCCAACTCTTCCATTTCAGGCCCAAAGGCCTAAGACAAAATGGTTTTGGGGAACGGGCCGGAGGTGCCCAACATGGGCTCGCTGCCCAGGGCCACCTCAGGAAGCTGCTTCTAGCATCAGCACCCGTGCTGCTTTGGCTGCTCCAGCCATGGCTAAATTGGTCCCAGGTGTGACTAGACATGCAGATTTGGAAAATACAAGCTGGAAGCCTTGGCAGCATCCACATGGTGTTAGGTCTGCAGGCTCGCAGAATGCCAGAGCTGTGGAGGATTGGGAGCCTCCACCCCAATTTCAAAGGATGTATGGAAAAGTCTGGGGGCCCAGGAAGAGATCTGTCACAGGTGTGGAGTCACCACAGACAATCTTTGCTAGAGCAAGGCCGAGTGGAAACGTGGGGTTGGAGTTGCAGCAGAGAAACCCCATCAGTGCCATGCCTAGTGGAGCCATGAGAGCGGGACCGCCATGGAGACCCCAGACCTATGGAGCTACCAGGGTGCAACGCCAGCCTGTGAGAGCTAAAGCATCACTTAAGCCCAGGAAAGCCATAGGAGTGGAGATGCCAAAGGACTTGGGGACCCAACCCCCACATCAGTGTGCAGAGGACATCGAACATGGAGTCAAGGTACTTGATTCACCAGCTTTGAGATTTAATGCCTCCCCTGCTGGGTTTTGGACTTGTTTGGGACCTGTTACACTTTTTGGGGGGCCTATTTCTCCCTTTTGGAATTGGAATACGTACCCTATGTTTGTCCCACCAATGTATCTTGGAAGTAGATAACTTATATTGATTTCACAGATGGGACTTTGAACTTTGGACTTTTGACTTGAAACAAGTTAAGACTTAGGGGATGAAATGAATGTATTTGCATGTGAAAAGGACATGAGCTTTGGGGGGTCAGGGGTGGAATGTAGTGGATTGAATTATGTCCCCCCAAAACTCACTGAAGCTTGAATTGTGTCCCCAAGTTTTATGTATTAGACACTTGGCCCCCACTGTGAACGTTACGAGGGTGGGAAATCCTATTATGGTAATTGAAAGGTGGAGCCTTGAAGAGGTGATTGGATTGTAGGACCCTGTAGTAGTAGATGTATTAAAAATGGTGGTCAAGGGTGTGGTTCTGAGGGCTTTAAAAGAAGAGGAGAGTCTCTCTCTCTGCTCTCTCTGCTTCTACCATCTTGCAATATGAGACCCCTGGGTCACTGTCACCACCACCAGATGGATTTTGGACTTCTCAGCCTCAGAAACTGTAAGCAATAAATTTTGTTTTCTTTTAAAATCACCCAGTTTCAGGCATTTTGTTATAAGCAACATAAACAGACTAATACACTTCCCTTTTTTTCCCTTTGTGTCCCTGGCCAGACTGGTAGGCAGTGTACCAAGTTTGAGAAGACTAGGGTAAAGTCAAGTTATGTTCATAATGAACAAACCCCCAGGGCAGGAATAGGAAACTTCTAGAACTGCTGCCACTAAGTGAAGCCTGAAGCACTTTTGGGGGCCTGACTATACAACTAGCTAAGCCTTGGGTGACAGAAATATCTGTGCTATATGTCACGGTAGACTAAAGACAGGACTTCTAACTCCTGTGCTAGAGGATTTACATTGCCATGAAACATGTGAGATCATGAACACTATGGTTTCTGCTTAAAATAACCAATTTTTTTAATTGCTCTTTTTAAATTGCTTTTCCCAATAATACTAAAGACTGCAAGCCAAGGAGAATTTCACTCTTTTGCCCCTCTTTCTAGGCTTAATTAATGAAATGGTTCCTAATCACCATTCAGTCAAGGCTTTTGGGTAAAATATTTTACTTGAACAACTTTCAACTCACTAATGAAAATATATTAGCATGAAAGTATATTAATACAGAATTTTAAACGAGAAAAAAAAAAAACTTCCCCTTCCCTGAAATCTCAACAGTGTCAAGATGTTCTGATTCTAAAATTCACATCCTCATATACCACGAGGGTGCTGAATAAACCACATTGAAAACACATTTACTGTAAGACTGGATGGAGCTTGTGGGTCATTCTCTCTCTGGGTCTGAGCCTGAGGAGTGAATGACGTCATAGTTGTATGATGGAACAAACCCTTTACTGGATTCTTGATCTGACTGAAGCCCATAAGTGGTAAATAGCACAGATTAAAAGTAAGGCAATATCAGGATTTTGTAGGATTCTATGCTGAGTCCTTTTTAAAAAAAAATCTATGAGAAATTGAACATATTTTTCTAAAGAAATGATTATTTTGAGCCATGAGGATGATTTCATAGAACTTTTCAAGTGCCTAAACTGCTAAGCCTCTCCGGAGTTCCTGGCTCTATCGTAAGTTTCCAGATTTTGAGCACATGTCATTGACCTCTTGATTTCCAGGCTCTGAGGTGAAGCTGGGAAAATTGATCAATTTCTAATGAAACATTCAGAGATTTTTTTCTTCATGGTTTAATAGTATTTGTCCATTATTTCTAAGTCAGCAACCTAGTTTTCTTGCCAGTGAACCACCTACTACAATCTACATTTTTAAAAAAGGCAAAAGATTTATACGATCTAAAGAGAAACAAGTATACAATCTATGTTTCTAAAAGATAACTGAAGAGATAAGACCAGCGAGCAAAGGGGAAGCCCTGTCAACCCAGCTTCTGGTACATAGGCTCTGTTTCTCAAACTATAAAGAAGTAGAAAGGGAGGACTAGGGAGTCCACAGTAAAGAGTCCATTCAGGAGGGTACAAAATAGCATTGTATCCCACCCCCAGACCTACTTTCAAGAAAGGCCAGTGGGTTCATAAGAACTGACAGGGCAGGGATAGGTCTCCCAGAGGGAAACCCTGGGAAAATCTACATACTACCAGGCAGTTAGCTAAGATATAAACAAGTAGACAAATATTTTATAAATGCTATATAACATTTTATTCCTTGTCAAAGACTTGAAATCTTCTACTGATTTCATAAATAAATAAATCTTTTCTTTAAATAACTTTTTCCACATATTTCCAACTGCATAGCACCATTTTTATTATTTAAGGTGTACAACTTGATCTGATATATGTATATGTTGTGAAATAATCACCATAATCAAGCTAATTAACATATCCATCACCTCACAAATTAACATTTCCGTGTGTGTGTGGTGAGAACATTTAGGCTCTTAGCAAATTTCAAGTATATGGTACAGCATTGTTACCTATACGCACCATGCTATACATTAGATTTTCAGAACTTATTATCTTCCAACTTTGTACCCCTTGATCAACAAACATCTCCCCATATCCCCCTCTTCCTAGCCCCTGGAAACCACCATTCTACTCTCTGCTTCTGTGAATTTGACTATATTAGATTCTGTATATTAGCGAGATCATACAGTATTTGTCTTGCTGTGTCTGACTTATTTCATTTAGCATTTATTTATTTTATTTTATTTATTATTTTTTTTTATTCCGTTTTGTCTTTTTTACTGACCAGTAACGGGATCGCAACCCTCGGTGTCGCGCCCGTACCGGGGACCGGCAACGGGATCGCAACCCTCGGTGTTGCGCCCGCACCACGCTCAGCCAGTGAGCGGGAACCAGTCTCCACATGGGATGCGAACCCTCAGCAGGAGTGCTGCCGCGCTCCCAAGCAGCGCACTCTCCAGTACGCCACCGGGCCGGCCCAGCATTTATTTTTATATAGGATCAGAGTGGCACTATGTGAAGGCGGAGCAGTGGCAAGAAATTTTGCTTAGAGATCTGGGAACAGTAAAGGAGCTCTTCCATGTGGCCTTTCAACTTTGCACATGCCTCTAACTTGAATTTGCATATGTCACCATTTCCTGAGGCCCTGTACTTTTCAAACTTCAGGCCTTGAGCTAGAAAAGCTGCAAAAGAATATAAGGAAATTAATCTGTGAGCTGATCCTCAATTGTATTTTCTGAATTTCAGACAGAGTCACTGGCCACATGGCAGTTTCAAAAATTAAATCAAAACTTAAGCTGAATCCTCTAACAAAAGTACCTGTCTCCCACAGCAGGAGGTAGGTAATTAATGTATGAAGGTGATAAATACAATAAAGAATTATTAAGGTGATAAATATATTAAATACCCATAAAGGCTATGATGAAACAATTGGAAAGCTCTTCAGATATCCATTCTGTGATGAGTTTAGTTATAAGACAAAACATCTGAATTGGAGAGAAAGATTTTTTTATGAGAAGAAAAGGATATAGGTCCTTTCTGATTGGAGAAATAAAGAGTTCTCCTTTTCATTCACCCAAACAAGAGGGTATTTTTGTGCCAGGACACAGAACACCCGAGAGGGCTCAAGGACTTTTCAGGTATACATTGAGATATTTTCAGTGCCAGCTTAAAGGAGAATAAACTTACAAGGTCATAAAAAAGACCTAAATCACTAAGCAAGTCAAAGTGGAAAAGGGTCTATGTCTCAAATATGGCTGGTAAAATGCAAACTAATAAATTAGCCATGACTAACCCCGGGCTAAAATTGGGAAGGGAGGTTTGTATGTGGCATTAGCTAGAGGGTTTTCTCAGTCTGATAACAACAAATTCCAGTTAACAGCCACTAATGACTGAAGTGAGAGCCCGGTCTGTATTTTATCAGACCATGAGAAGAAAGTCTTCTCTCCTCTCCCACAATTAGCCATCACTTTGCCACTTTGAGAGTATTTTTCCTAGTGTCCTTAACTATGCCATTCTAAAGAAATACATTACTGACTTCTTTAGAGGGAAGTGGGTAAGATAACCTCAGAGCAGCCAAATGAACACTTACCCTGCATTACAAGCTGCCTTTTGAAGTAGTGAGTTCCTGGTCACTGACAGTAGTCAAGCAAAGACTAGATACTATCACATGGAGAGGGAACTGCTACGTTAGAGGAGAAGCTGGACTGGATTCATACCAAATCTAAGATTCTTAAATCATTTGAAACATTGTAAAATAAAAAGATTCTCCAATATTTGATCTAAGATAAGGTTTGAAATTGCGCCGAGAGTATTCTTTTTTTATTGTAGCTAATAAAAACTTTATACTGCCTGGCGTTCTACTTTCCTCTTGCTTCTTGTATTTCTCCATCTACTGCATCTTTTACATCATCCAAGAGAAATCTGTTTATATTTAGAAATACAACAAATATAAAATAACCTACCTCAGTAAGGGCACACCTGAGTTTTCAGATGCTCAATCAGGTAATAAAGAGGAAACACCAAAAGAAGAAATCAGCATTCGTAAATGTTGAGAAAATAAGACAAATTAGATAAAATTCCATGTTGAAAAGGTGACAACAGTGTATTTTGAGAGCTTATCACTGCCTTTTCTCCCAGGTCCCTCTTTGAAAATGAATACAACCTAATAAATACTCTGGAGGATACTAAATTAATAACCATAATAATTTTTTTGTTTAACTATAACATTTAGTATTTCTTCTACTTTCACTTTTTTAACTACTTCTTATAAAACCACGAAAACTGGGCCAGCCCGAGGCCCACTCTCACTCGGGAGAGTGTGGTGCTGATAACACCAAGGCCAAGGGTTCAATTCCTATATAGGGATGGCCGGTTAGCTCATTTGGGAGAGCGTGGTGCTGACAACACCAAGTCAAGGGTTAAGATCCCCTTACCGGTCATCTTAAAAAAAAAAACCCACAAAACTAAAAAATTTCATTTTTTTAAAACTCTTCATTCTAAGAGTATCAAAACTAAAGGCATTTTAAATAAAATAAATTTATAAAATTATGATTATTGTAATTAAATTTTATAATTAAATTTACTTAAATGTAATTAAATTTAGTTTAAATTACCATATAAGCAAATCCAGTTCTATGTGATGCATTTTTATATTCCTAAACTAATAAATTACTGCAGATCTATACAAAATATCCCCAAAGTATTAAATTTTTCCTCCTTTTCCAGATTTTACTTTCCTGAGAAAGTGAAAGGTCACCCAGGGTTCCAAACTTTCTCTATTTCTGTCTCTATCTCATGTCTCACATGCTGGTAAAAATATAATTTGGCAATTAAAGTCATAAAGTAATCATGGATACCAAGGTTTCTCCATAAGGATATTTACCACGACATTATCTATAATAGTTAAAATTTTGAAACAACTTATATTTCTAACAACAGGAATAGTGTAAGACTTACAGCCTTGAGCTTTG